TTGTCTACATATTTGTGCTCCTATTTCATTATGTGGGAGCCCAGCAGCCGAAAAAAGTGGAATCTTCTGCCCACGAACAACAGAATTCATAACATCTATTGTACTTATACCTGTTTGTATCATCTCTCGTGGATATACTCTACATTGAGGGTTTATAGGATAACCATTTATATCTAAATAATCCTCAGCTAGTACCTGGGGGCCCCCATCTATGGGCCTCCCGCTACCGTTGAAGGCTCTACCCAGCATATCCTCAGCTATCGGCATCTTCAGCACATCACCACGAAACTCTGCGTGACAGTGACGGTTGTCTATGCCTGATGTTCCCTCAAACACCTGCACCACTGCTCGACGCCCCTTTATCTCCAGCACCTACACACACACATATTTATATATTTATATATATATTTTGTTTTGTTTTTGTTTTTTTTTTTTCGGGTTTTTTTTGGGCGGGAAAGGAAGAGATATACGTGGAATTGTAAACAGGTGTTGCTGTGCTGCTGCTGTTATTGCTGCTGCAGCTGCTGTTGCTGCAGCAGCAGCTGCTGTTGCTGCTGCTGCTGCAGCTGCAGCTGCTGCTGCTACTCTTTCTGGTGTTGCTACTGCTGCAGCTGCTACCTGTACTGTTTCTACTCCTTCTGCTGTTCCTACGTGTACTGTAATGGCTGCTGCTGCTGCTGCTACTGGTATACATACACCTACTGTGACTCCTGCTGCTGCTGCTACCACTGCTGCTGCTACCACTGCTGCTGCTACCACTGCTGCTGCTGCTGCTGCTGCTGCTGCTGCTGCTGTTGCTGCTGCTGCTGCTGCTGCTGTTGCTGCTGCTTACTTGTCCTTCTCTCACACTTCCATCACCTAGATGGAGCGTAACGATCTCATAATACTTTGGAAATTTAACATCATCAAAGACAACGAGGGGGCCTTCTGCTGCTGCAACAGTTCTATAGTCTAGCCGCGGGGCCACGCGGTAGTCTCGCGTCACAGCCAGTACATGCTGCCTCGCTGCTTCAGCACGGCTGAGGGTTGGGGGCTGCGTATGCAGCGCCATCGTTGCTGCAGGGGGGCAGCAGCAGGAAGCATGCAGCAGCTACAGAAACTGCAGCAGCAGCAGCAGCAGCAGCAGCAGCAGCAGCAGGGGAAGAGGAGGGGGAGGAGAGCGAGAGGTGAGAGTACAACAGAAGCTGCTGGTGATCGTGGAGAGAATTTAAACAAACAAACTCACAAAATGATGATGATGCTGATGATGTGCTGCTGCTGCTGCTGCTGCTGCTGCTGCTGCTGCTGCTGGCAGCTGAGGCAAACAGCCCTGGCGTATGGAGAAGCAGCAGAGAAGGGTTTTGCTGCCGGTTATAAACAAAAATAAACCGAAATTATCTAATTCAATTTCTTTTATTAAATATATTATACAAACTTCAAAGGAAAAGTACAGCAGCTGCTCACTCCTGAGCAGCAACAGCAGCAGCAGCAGCAGCAGCAGCAGCAGCAGCAGC